TCACTCTTACATATCTTTTTTGTAATATTTATGAGACATCCCAAGTCACATTGAACATTTGGACTACTTTTTTTTATTTTTTATTTTTTTTTATTATTTTTTTTTAGTGTTGAGCATATAATATATAAACATAAATTTGTAATCCAACTATCAGTTTAGATTTTTAATTGAGATGGAACACATGCTTCAATTTGGTATCAGAGCCAACCCTAAGCCAAAGTTCATGGGTTCGTAAATCTCCGCGTCGATTCACGTGCTGCATGCTTGGAATTAAGCCATCAAAAGTAAATGTGCAATTTAACTATTAGTTTAGACTTTTAGTTGTGATGGAGCACATGCTTCAATTCTTTTGCACTAATACAATAGAATTTTGGTTGACAATAATGAAATAATGTTAACATTTCTCATTAAATAAATTGTGTCCACTCAAGAACTCTATAGGTGCCTCATCCATGCATTTGTGGAAGGTGGTGAAGCTGATGAAGCTATCAACAGTAGCTTGACTTTAAATACTGAAATTGATGATGTGGTTAGGGATTGTTTGTCTTCAATTCAAATGGATTTTTTATGCCCATAAAAAATGGCCACTAAGAAAATGAGATCTTTGGCCATTGTTTATGCCCCATTAAGAAAATGAAACCTTGGTGTCATCTTCTTTTCCTAAATTTCCCATAAAAGATGAATAATAATGTAGCTATGCTTTTCTCAAAAAAAAAAAAAAATGTAGCTATGCTTAGCATGTAATATATATTTGACATCCATATTTAACTATTAAGATATACAAAAACTTATGTAAGTCCGCTTTACATGATATAGATCTCAAATATATAATAATTTTAGTTAAAATGTAATACTTTTAAATACGTTAACAAATATTATATTTTAATTGAAAAGTATTTGTTTGATTTTTAAAAGTATTAGCTAGTGAAAATGCAATAATTTTCAAGAAAATGTAATATTTGTTGACTGGTAAAATATATTAGATTTTGGCTAAAAAGTATATGTATTTTAAGTGATACAGTCTCAGATAACACCAACCAATCAATTCAAAGTAATATGGTCTGATTAGTTTTTATTACATTTTCTTCCTTTTGTCCAGTAGTCAATGCATGACTACATATAAGGAGAATATGTACACTCATAAGTACAAATGCCATTTTACCAAATTTCTCACTCAAATATTTTTATTTCTAAATTTTTAAAAATTACATACTAAAAAAATATGCAGTGTCATATTTGATGGGATTTAAAAAGATTTTTTATTTTTTATTTTTTAAGCAAAAAAGGCCATAGTTTGGCAAAGTCTACTATGGCTTTAAACTGAGGACTTGTTGGGCTTAGAGCCTTACAGATCAAACATCTTATCTGCTTTCATTTGAATGAGGATAGCATGTTTTCCATCATCAATACTTACAAATAAATTTGTGGGCTTTCTAAGTCCATCTTTAATGTCATGCTTTTGCAATTTCAACCCTTTTATTGGCTGTAATTATGGGCGGCAAATAAATTATTGTGTGGACGATGGTTCATACAGTTGTGTGGGTCATTTTATCAAATAATGTACATTTAATACATAAATAATATATTTTTAGTATATTAAAAATGTATATTGTATTAAGAAAAAATAAATTGGCCATGTTTGGTAAAATGGCTGTTTAGCTGATAGCTGTTAGCTGTTAGCTGATGATTGTGTTAATTAGAGGGTATAAATAGTTGCTAACATTAGCTGATTGTGGAAAAGTGTTTGGTAAATTAGCTGTTAGCTGATAGCTGTTTGGTATAATTTCTTTTCTCAAAAAGCTAATTGAAAAAGTTGTTTGGAGTAACTTTTTGAATTTTAACCTTTTGGAGTTGAAAAAAGCTAATTAACCAAACATTTATATTGATATTTTAACTAAATCAAACAATTAATAGTGGTCAAATAAGCTAAAATTGGCCTATAGGTCAATTTTTTACCAAACAGGGCCATTATCTGAGTACTGTACAATCAGTACATGGATAATGTACTTTTAGTATATTAAAAAGCTACTTTTTTTGTTATGGTCCACACTAATTTATCATTATTGTGTGGACCATGCTATCAAATAATGCACATTTAATACACAAATAATGTATTTTTAGTATATTAAAAATGTACATGGTATTTAGGAAAAGTACATTATTTGAGTACTGAAAGTACATTATTTTGTATGATCAACAATCAATGCACAAATAATGTATTTTTAGTATATTAAAAATGTACTTTTAGCATATTAAAAATGTATTTTTTGTTATGGTCAAACCACGCACCTTAAGCACATAAACAAAGCATCTTAAGAACACAAACCACACACCTAAAGTTTTAAAATGACGCACCTTAAGTTTTAACAATTGACGCACCTTAAGCATACAAATCACGCACCTTAAGAAGGAACCAACACACCTTAAGAAAAAAAAACTACGCACCTAAAGCTTTAGGCCGACGCACCTTAAGTTTCCACAACTGACGCAGTTTAAGCACACAAACCACGCACCTTAAGAAGGAAAATCCCACACCTTAAGAAGGAAAACCACACACCTAAAGCTTTAGATCGATGCACTTAAGTTTTAAACACCTGACGCACCTTAAGCCATACAGTACAAAAACCACGCACCTTAAGATGGAAAAACCATGCACCTTAAGAAGAAAAATCACACACCTTAAATTTGACTTAGATACAAAATAACCAAATTGTCATCAATTTTTTTTTTTTAATCATTGTTAATCCTGGACGTTGATTTAGGCAAGATCAATGGCTCAGATTCTATTCCCATTAATAAAATGACTTACGAATAATAGAATAGATCTAACTTTAGAAATGTTATTTTTTTTATTTATTTATTTTTTTTTACGTATTATGTGAACCATAAACATGTTGTATTAAGATGAGTCAAAAGACTTTGGCTCTGTTTGGTAAATGGCTGTTAGATGTTAGTTGATTAGGTTAATTAGATGGTATAACTAGTTGATACCATTAGCTGATTGTAGAAATATGTTTGGTAAATTGACTGTTAGTCGATAGCTGTTTGATATAATTTATTTTTTCAAAAAGCTAATTGAAAAAGTTGTTTTGAGCAACTTTTTGAATTTTAGCATTTTGGAGTTATAAAAAGCTAATTAAACAAAAACTTATATTGATTTTTTAACCAAATCAAATAGCTAACAATGGTCAAATAAGTCAAAATTGACCTATAAGCTAATATTTTACCAAAGGAAAATACATGTATTCTCATTTTATACTCTCAATTTTTACTCCTACACTTGATGTAGACACTTTTACAAAGACCCACATAAAAAAAATGACTTAAAGCTTACTATAGGGAGTAAATTTGATAGAGTAAGATTTGTGAGTATGTAGAAGTCTTTACTAAATAGGGCCTTTGAATTGTATTAAGATTCAGGGGAAGTGTAGACTTGGCTAGCTAGGCTTTATGATATGGATGGGCATGAGCTAAAACTGATTATATTTACGCAAATTATATTGTGGACGTAGGTCTATGCATGTAATAGTATGGATTGTGGTCTATTAAAATAATATTATATATAGGTTTATGTAAACCATACCGATTAATTAATCATCATTAAACTATACAAATGTGAAAATGTGACATTGTCAAACACAAACAAGTATACCCCTAGATCGGGCAAACGCTATTTGTAGTAAAAAACGACTAAGTCAACAAATGTTTCCCCTTAGAAGGATCGGAGAATAAAGGAAGACAATATTATATTTGGTACATTAAAAAATATTACACTATTTAAATAAATTAGATTTCAAAGTATCCTGCTAAGCACTTTATGCTCAGATACTATATAGTGATGACCTATTCTATGTGGAAGGTCATGAAATTGAGCCTTAGTAAAGACGTAATTTCATCAAGTTGAAAAAGTATGTTTAAACAGATAATATAATGTAAAAGAAGAGTCAGTATATTTTCTAAATTTGTAAAAACTCACCTGATACCCACTATGAATGTCCACTGTTTATTATCTTATTAATTAAAAACACTTTAAAAATAATAATAATAATTATATTATTTTTACATAGTAAAATTCACTAGTTATATTAAAACATAAATAATAAAAACATTCAAATATGATAACTAAATTATTTTTTTTTTCAATGAAACTTATTAGTTTATAACTAAAAATAGTAAAAATAAAAATTGACAAGAGTTATAAAAATTTTAAAAATTAACTACATACCTAGTACTTACTTTACTATTATGTAATAATAATAATAACAACAACAACATATTGAATCGAGTTGGGTTCTATATGCATTTTGTATATAAAAGTGCATTCAACTCGACCTTATGTGAATTTTTTTTATTTTTTTTTAAACTCATCACCTAAAAAACTCTATCCATACGGAGTGATTTTTGTTGGATATTCGCGAGACAAATTAAAATTCCAATCCCTAAATTAGGGATAACAACTTCAGAAAAAAGTACGGAGTATTACCCAACCCCTAGATAGAAAAGTTATATTGTGGACCTAAGTTTACCTTGCAAGGTGGACCTAGGTCCAAAATACACAATTTACCTACTGAATTTAGGTCCAAAATATACAATTTACATACTGAATATTTATAATTTATATATTGAATGTTCACAATTTTATAAAAGATAAATTGTGAACATTCAGTATATAACTTGTGAATATTCAGTATGTAATTTGTGTATTTTAGACCTGAGTCCACCTTATAAGGTTGACTCGGTTTCATGGTATAACTATTGCTCCTAGATTGGGCAAATGCTATTCTTACGCAAAAACGACTAAGTCAACAAATATTTCCCCTTGGAAGGGTCATGACATGGAGAAGAGTCGACTACTTTTTATGCTTCCATTTTCCATTATTCTCTTCAGGAAGACTGGAATATTTAATATTTGGATTCGGCTATATATACTTAGATTGTGGGTGATTAGTTTCTCCAGGCAAGTCCTTAGCTTGTTCAAATATACTCATCATTATCTCTTCATGGAGAAAGCATTCTCCTTCTTCTTTCTTTTTACCATCTTCTTCTTCTTCCATTCTCCCACAAACACTTTCATTGAGTGTACTAAAAATATCAGCACGGATCAATCTGCTCTTATCGATTTGAAAAATCAATTTACTTTAGTTAATCCAGATAATGTTTTGGCTCGAAACTGGTCCACTACAATTTCTGTTTGTTATTGGATTGGAGTTACTTGTGGATCACGCCATCATAGGGTGATTGCATTGAATCTTCCAGGTATGCACCTATCTGGACAACTTCCCACATCTTTGGGAAATCTCTCATTTCTATCTCTTTTAGACATGAGTGATAACTTTTTATATGGGAATATACCTAAAGAGTTGGGTTATTTGCATCGGTTACAAGTGTTACTTCTGTCCAGCAATAATCTTACGGGTGAGATTCCACAACAGTTAGGGAATCTTCGTCGCTTGGAGATGCTAGATATGAGTACAAACAACTTTGTTGGTTCGATCCCAAGTTCTATTTTCAACATCTCAACACTTAAAAGCATTAACCTTAATCTAAACCATTTATCTGGTACTCTTCCGAATAACCTTTGTGGCAACATTCCAAATCTAATTGAACTTCATTTAGAGCGTAATAGACTTAGTGGCCCACTACCAACAAATTTATCTTCTTGTTCATGGCTTCAATCGTTGGTGTTGCAAATGAATGAGTTCACTGGATTTATACCAAGAGAAATTGGAGGGTTAGAGATGCTCAGACTACTAGCTCTTGGAGTTAACAGGTTAACAGGTACAAATTCTTTGCTTGTCATTTCTATAATTACTTTATCAATACTCTTTTCTTTTGTTTGTTTTTTTTTTTCCTCAATTATAGAAGTATTGAAAATATCAGAAAATTCTCTATTTTCAATACTCTTGGGGTAGCACTAGCTATTATATGCAAATTAAATTCAAGAAAAATAAAGTTGTGCATTTGCTACATAGTATAATAACTTTTGATGTAATTATAAATGTGTTTAAGTTTTGAAGAGGTATTTATAGAAAAATATTATATTTTAATCTTATCTAATTAGCACACCAACTTTAAAAGTCTTCGTATTTATGTCTTCCTAACTCATTTATTAAGTGTTAGTATACATTACCTTTCAGATTGGAATTATAGCATCCTTTCCCCGGATGCCCAAAAACTTTGATGTTAAAAAAAAAAATATGCATTGCAATGTGTGCGTGTTAGAATAATGAACATTCCGGGAGCAAGATAATATATTTTATGAGTTAGAATAATGTAGTTTATGTGTTAGAATAATGTACTTTAGATTTTAAAAATAATGAAATTTTTGGAGTAAGATAATGTATTTTATGAGTTAGAATAATGTACTTTGTGTTAGAATAATATATTTTATGAGTTAGAATAATGTGTAATGTACTTTATGTGTAAAATACTGAAATTTATGGGGTAAGATAATGTATTTTATGAGTTAGAATAATGCATTATATGAATTAGAATCAGGACCGTTCCAATAAAAAGTGGGGTTCTGTGCAATATATTAATTTGGGCCATTGTTTTCAAGTAATTTCTATATATAAATAATAATTGTTCAAACATTTTGTAATACTTCAAAAAGACATTTGCCAGTAGTGTCATTCACAACCAAGAATTCCAGAAAGAACTCTTCTATATTTTAATGGGGAAAAAGGTCAAATAGGCCCTCGAACTTTAACTTAAAAGTCAATTAGGCCCCTAAACTTTTTAAATGTGCAATTACACCCATCAACAATTCATTTAGGTGCAATGAAGTCCAAAAACAAGTTAATGACCTGCTATCACAGGTCATTAGCGTTCAGGCCACCTTCCGGCGAAAATTCCGATAAAAAAAAAAAGTGACCGGCGACGACCGTTCGTCGGCCGCCGGTCACTTTTTTTTTTTTGCCAGAAATTTCGCCGGTCGGTTGGCGGTCACTTTTTTTTTTTTTTTTTTTGCCGGAAGGTGGCCTGAACCCTAATGACCTGGATAGCAGGTCATTAACTTATTTTTGGACTTCATTGCACCTAAATGAATTGTTGATGGGTGTAATTGCACCTTTAAAAAGTTTAGGGGTTTAATTGACTTTTAAGCTAAAGTTCGAGGGTCTATTTGACCCTTTTCCCATTTTAATGGGATATGTTGATATATCCACACATCTTAAAATCAAATACATTTGTTCTTGGTGAATGACATCAGGAGTACAATCTAATATCACTGAAAAATATTTTGGTTTATCACTATGTCCAACATCATCTAAACAACTATCAACATTCTTATTATTTTCATTGTCACAATATACCTATCATCGTTGTGCACATTATCATTTAAATTTTTTCCATCTCACAATCATCTTGATTTTCTATATGAAGACTAGCTCATTAGCATCCAACAATTTTTTTCTTAGCATCATCTTTTTGCTCATCTATTTGAGTTTTGTTTTATTTTTTTATTTTTTTGTAATGAATCTTTCAAGATCTCCCTTTTGAGATTGAGCTACTTGCTCAATTCTTCTTTTCTTTTTACGCTTCTCAAACCTAGATGAACATTATGGAGAGACATAAATTACAATTTTCTCAACAAAAATATTTAAATAATTAAATTAATTCAATTACCGGCAAATTGTGAAATTGAAATTGGTGTAGTCTCTCTAGTCTCTTATGTCACTTTGTGTCTTTGTCTGCTGCTAGCGCTATATTAGGGAATAGAGATTTAGGGTAGGTTTGTTGAGTTGTTCAAAGCAGCAATATACTACATTTTTTTTAAAAAAAAATATGGGCCTCCAAAATTTGGGGGACCTGTGCGCCGCCCCTGGAAAAACTTGCCCAGGCCGGTCCTAATTAGAATAATGTATTTATGTGTTTTTGAATCGTGGTCCACAGAACTGTGTGGACTACGATCCACCTCATAATGCTCCGATAGAGTTATATTTATAAATATTCCAATCTTGAAAGCCTTAATAATTATAAAATTAACCTCACATTTTGTTATTCTAACTCTCAACAATAAATATGTGTTTGGTTTAGATTGTGTAATATAATATTACCTTGTTTGGTTAATGGTTATATTTTAGATTATACAAATCAATTTACAACAATGTTCTCAATAATATATATATATATATATATATTTTATGTGTGTGTATTTATTTATTTATATCTATGAATGTATATCAATGCTTAAATATTACCCAAAAAAAAAAACTAAATATATAAATATACACACATGTATATTTGATTATATAAAATATATTAATTTTATTATTATTATTATTATTATTATTATTATTATTATTATTATTATTATTATTATTATTATTATTATTATTATTATTATTATTATTATTATTATTATTATTATTATTATTATATAAGGATTAGTTAACAAGGGCAAAGTTAGAATAATTCAAGGTAATCTAAGATTTCCTAAGAAAACGGGGGTAATCACATTACCTTGAAACATTACCGCCACATTAGCTTTCAGGTAATATAACATTACCAAGTAATCTCATAACTTGAACCAAATAAAGTAATATAACATTACCAGACTCAGATTACCTAGGTAATCTAAGATGACCTGAACCAACGCCCCCGAAATACGACTAAAATCAATCCATACTTTTTAAGGGAGGGATGGGTTCAAAAGTGTTTAGGGAAAAACTAAGAGCATCCATAATAGTGTAGGTTTATTTTTATGGTTTTTTATATGCCATGTAGGAGTGAGAAGGGGAGGAAAAAAAGAAAAAAACAAAACAAAAAATAAGCGTGCCACAGTTTTTTTTTGTTTTTTGTTTTTTAATTTTTAAAGTAAGGCAATCACGCGCCCGATTGGGCGCGTTCCCATGGATTGAGTTTGGCTTTACTTTTTCTCTCACATGTGGGTCCCTCAAAAAATCTAAACTTGCAAGAAAAAAACTACCTCAAAAACCCATCCACACACTAGTTAAAAACCACCCTTGGTTTTTTGGTCTGCAAAAACCAAATAAAATCCACAATTTTGAATGCTCTTAACTCTTATCCTTACATTTGAAAAAAAGTGAACATATTAGGTTAACTTTTTTTTTTTTTTTTTTTTTTAAGCGATGACATTTTCATAATCATCATCAACTTTACTATATTCTCGACTTATCAGAAATATTTTGGGAATGCACATTTACTTGTTACAAAGTACACGTTTACAATTACAAAAATTGCACTTATAAAAATGTGAAAGTGCATTGCACTCAGGGCTTTAATTTTATAGTTTATGATTGAGCTTTTTTGTTTTATTTGGTTTAGCAATTCACTTTTTACTCCTTATATTTTAATGTTTACGATTTAGATTTATAATTCAATTTTTTAATTGATTTTTAAAAGTTATCCAAGAATGCACATTTAATTGTTACAAAGTGAAGTTAACGATAATTACGAAAATACCACTACACTCTTTTTAAAATTTTGATCTAATTTGTCCGATTTTTATAAATGTGATGTATAACGGTGCACAATGGTACATTGGTACACAAGTTCACATTTAATTGACAGAGGTTCTCACTTGAACCTAATTCTATATATATATATCTAAACATTAATATCTAACATATATATATACACACACATATATATAGTCACCTAGTATAAAGTGGTGCTTGGTTACTTGAGATATTAATTAGGTTGTCTTTATCCCTACAATATTCTTTCACTTTTAAAATTGGGTCCCACTTAGACAATATAAAATTTGTAATTTTTTTTTATTGTTTTCTCTTCATTCCTGCAATACTCTCTTACTTTAAAAAATAATCATACTTTCACATCAAGTTATATATTATAATAATAACAAAATAATAATAATAAAATAATAAATAAATAAAAAGAAAGTACAAAAAGGCTACCGCATGCTGTCATGCTACATCCTTTTTTGTACATTTCAAGCTTACAAGAAATGCAAGTTTGCAGTACACATAATCATCTAATAATAATAAAAAAATATATATATATTTTTCACATAGCATTTCATATCAGTTTGTAAGCTCCATTCTTTCAAGAATAAAGTCAGCGTTATATATGTGTGTGTGTGCGCGCGCGCGCGCGTGTAAGATAATTTTGTCATCACAATATCAATTATATATCACACTATAAGAAAATTATACACTAGATTACTAGACATAAAGTTGTTTTTGTGCTTATTCAATTACCTTTAATTTGACAAGAATGCTTAATTTGATTTGTAATTGACATTCTATTGTATTGCCTCAGGTGAAATTCCACAAGAATTTGGCAATCTTCGCAATTTGAGGATTTTGAATCTTCGAGCGAACCATATTACTGGAGTTTTACCAAAGACCATTTTCAACCTTACTTCACTTCAAGTAATGCAATTGCTGACAAATAAACTCATTGGATCCATACCTAGGGAAATAGGAAACTTAACTTCCCTTCAAGAGTTAGATCTTTATGAAAACTTTTTATCAGGTTTGTGAATTTGTTGTTTAATTTACACAATCCCTCATCCATACAAAATTATTTACACTTTTCATACTCGCTCTTTGATATTTTGCAGGTACAATACCCCAAGAAGTTAGAAGGCTTAATGAAGTAGAGGTTCTTGATTTTCATTCCAATAATCTAAGTGGTTTGATTCCTGAAGTCATATTCAACATCACAACACTTAAGATTATTGACCTTTCAATGAATCACCATTGGGGGAGTCTTCCTTCCACTATAGGGTATGCATTACCCAATCTTGAAGACCTTTATATATCTGACACTATGCTAAGTGGAGTTATACCTCAAAGCCTCTCAAATTGTTCTCAACTCTCACATATAATTCTTGGATTCAACTACTTGACTGGGTCCATTCCAAAATCTTTAGGAGATCTTAGGTTCTTGAGTTTCTTTTCAGTTGTTAGAAATGATTTATCAAGTGAGTCTTCATCACCAGAATTAAGCTTCATAACTTCTTTGACCAATTGTAGAGAGCTGTACATTTTGGATCTGACTTATAATGATTTTCGTGGAGTAGTTATTCCCAAATCCATTGGAAATTTTTCTTCCTCACTACACAACCTTGGGCTAGCGGGTACTGGGTTAAAGGGGTCAATCCCAGAAGAAATTGGCAATCTAAGTGGTTTACAAACTATAGAAATGGTTGGGAATGACTTGGGAGGAGTTATTCCAAACACATTGAAAGGGTTACAACGACTTGAACGTTTGTACTTGGGCTATAACAAATTAAGAGGACCAATTCCTAGTAGTTTTTGCAAGTTGGAGAAATTGGGGCTGATGTATTTGAAGGAGAATCAAATTTCAGGTCCCATCCCTGAATGTTTAGGGAACCTTACTTCTTTACGATATATACAACTTGGTTCGAATAGATTGACGGGTAGAATTCCTCCAAACATATGGACCATGAAAGACCTTTTAGGGCTTGGCCTATGTTCCAATTCTTTGAGTGGTGCTTTATCTCCTGATATTGGGAATTTAAAGGTTATAACCTCCATATGTATGTCGGAAAATCATTTTTCTGGCAGCATCCCAAGCACACTAGGAAGCTTGCAAAATTTGATATCCCTCTCCCTAGCAAAGAACCATCTAAATGGACAAATACCAGAGACAATTGCGGGGATGCTAAGTTTGGAATCACTAGACTTGTCTCATAACAATCTCAGTGGTCCAATTCCAATGTCTCTCCAAGCCCTTAGATATCTCGTCCACTTTAATGTCTCTTTCAATAGCTTAAGAGGCGAAATCCCTTCCAATGGTTCGTTTAGAAACTTCACGAGCCTATCCTTCATGAATAATGAAGCATTATGTGGAGCTCCAAGGTTTCATGTCCCACCATGCCAAAGTATTTCAGCTCAAAGTTCAAACAATGGAAAAAGAATCCATCGATTTATATATATGGCATTGGGAATTATAGCCTCTTTTGTTGTTCTTGTTGTGGGATTAGTGATTGTTGTTTGTCAAAAGAAGATGAAAGGTGTTAGGAATGAAAATGTGGTAGCTGTGAGAACAGTGGAAAGGGTAACATACTATGAGCTTATGGAAGCAACAAATGGGTACAATGATAGCAATGTGCTTGGGGTAGGGAGTTTTGGGGTTGTTTACAAGGGTGTTCTTGAGGATGGAAGAAACATTGCTGTTAAGGTGTTCAAATTGCAACAAGAAGAGTTCCATAGTACATTTGAGGCAGAATGCAAGGTTTTGTGCAACATTCGTCATCGAAATCTCACTAAGGTCTTAAGTTGCTGCTCCAATCCGGATTTTAAGGCCTTAGTCCTTGAATACATGCCTAATGGGAGCTTTGAGAAATGGCTATATTCCGAAAATCATTTCCTCGACATGAAGCAAAGGTTGGACATAATGATCGATGTGGCAAGTGCTTTAGAATATCTTCACCACAATTGTTCAACACCTGTGGTTCATTGCGATCTGAAACCAAGTAACGTTCTGCTAGATGAGCACATGATTGCTCATGTTAGTGATTTCGGGATTGCAAAGTTATTAAGTAGTGATGATGGCGTTTTACACACGAGGACCCTAGCTACATTAGGCTACATCGCACCAGGTGCGCAATTATTCTTCCCTTTCTTTATAGCTTGTGTGACATTTTTGCTTGTGTAAATTATATTAATTTGTCATCATAATAAATTTGACCTAGTTTAATTTGGTATTGATTACAGAGTATGGATCAGAAGGACTTGTGTCAACAAGGTGTGACGTTTACAGTTATGGCATCATGCTATTCGAAGCTTTCACAAGAAAAAAGCCCGATAGCGAGATGTTTTTTGGAAATGTTAGCTTAAGGAGTTGGGTTCAAGAATCGTTGCCTAATAGAGTAATCGATGTAATTGATGCTGAATTAGTTGCACCAAGTGAAGCAAATTTTAGTGCAAATGTGAAATGCCTATCATCTATTATGGAATTGGCTTTGAACTGCTCCGTAGAAACTCCAGTTGAGAGGATGAACATGAAGGATGTGCATTTAGCCCTACACAAGATAAAACTTTTATTGCTCACAAACTAATGTAAGTTATTATGAGGCTTTTATTTCCTTTTTTTTTTTCTTGCCCTCATATCTTCTTGTGCATTGATATTAGTTGTATTAAGGATATTTTTGCAGGTTGTGGATTTACTGAAGATATTAACAGCAGTGATGCTTATTTGCAGTGTTGTGTTTTAAGAAAGATGGTGTTCCCTTTAGACATTAGTTGTCCCTTATTTACTACTACATAAAAAACTTGAATTTTAGTTTTTGATTCTTGTAATACTGAAAGTTTTGGTCCAAACTTTATTCACAGATCTTCACTTATTGGTTTTGACATTAATTGTCCCTTCAATTATACTGTTTGGAGATGCTTTGTATTGTTTATTGGTTTTCACAAACTTTACTCATGCATCTTAAAATGATATAGTTAATAGAAAATTTTATTTATATTTATAAAAAAGTTCTATAGACAAATTAAGATAAATTTAAATTTAAAAGTTTTAAATATTTATATTATTATTAATAGAAAAATTTAATAATAATGATTAAAATTTAAATTTTCCAACTCATTCCACCTAATTTTTTTAAAGGTAACATATTTAAATTCTTTTTACAAATACATGTGACTTTAAAACACATTTATTTCAAAACAAAATTTAAATATGTTAATTTTTTAAAAATTACAAGTATGAATAAATTGAAAATTAAAATTTTAAACCTGTATTATTAATATATATATATATATATATATATATATATATATATATATATATATATATATATATATACATACACACACACACACACACACGAATCAAATGAGAACGCGTGCCCATGAGAGAAATAAGAACCAATCACAGTCGTCCATCTGGATAGATATAATGGATTAGAAATACTTAAAAAAGAAAAAAAAAAACGATAACATTTTTATAAATAAATAAAACTTTGAAGTACAATTAATTGTGTTAAAAGTGCAAGTAACAGTTTCATAGAATGCAGCTAAGTGCAGATGTAATGTATTTAAAGTGCAACAATATAATGTATACTAAGAAACAATATTAAGTGCACCTAAAGTTATAATTAGTTGCATGAAACGTTATCTTTAAGTGCACCAATATGAAAATGTAAATTGCTTACATTCTTAAGTGTAAATTGTTACACTTTTAAGTGATTTTACTTTCACACTTGCATCTATTAGCCTATTACTTGCACATTTAGGACATGTTAGTTGTACTTCAACCCACGGACACGACCACCCAACGCCTGTCGTCGTCGCTCGTCAGAACGAAGACCATAACCTGCGAAATAAATCCGACGATTCTCCGGCAAACTCAGGCATTAAGGGAAAAATTCACAGTCCAAAACCAATGGTAATTAGTTCATTGAAAATATACCTATTAAATTAATCAATAATATCCTGACTAAATAGTAAATAGATATATTTTTGTATGTATATCTCAAAGAATTAATATATGAATCATATACTAAAAACACGATGTATTGAAAAAAATAATATTGATTCAGGCAAAAACAATCAACCACGCAGAGATTGATAAAAGCTTTGATACAAGATACCGAATATTAGAATAATACATAATCATAGTACATGTAATAATCTAACCTTATAGTGGAAGCATATGTTGGTATCGTTGGTATAAAACACAAATAATAATCAAAATTAAGATTATTATTTTTCTGGAAAGAAGGGAAGAAAAGATGAAGAAATTTGGCTAGTGTTTGGTGTTGGGTTTTTGCAAGAGTCAAGTGAGCACTCTTTCCTTAAAACCTTATTTGCCACCTCCCAAAGATGCTAGGAGCGTTGTGGCCTAGGCTTCCCAGGATAAAACTTGCTATGATCCAATGTTTGAGCATTCAAACAAAGAATCCGGCGAGCAAGACAATGGCTATGAACATAGTATGGCTAAGAAGAGGAGTAGAAGCAGAATTTTGAGGTTGGAAAACAAAAGTTTCGTGCAGTGTTCTTGCTGTTCTCACTGTGTGTAAAACTCTACTGCCTCTACCCTCTCTTATATAGGGTTGAAGGAGCCAATAGCCTTTATTATGGCAATTAAAAAATGACATTAAAGCTGCCTTCCAACAGCTATAACAGCAGGCCACTACCTGTGAATTGAATTCAGAATTCAAAATTAGAATTAATAGACAATTAATTCCGTAATAGATGAATTCAATCCCCTCAACAGTCAGAACTTTCGGGTTCCAGACCGTTAGCATACAGGGTTCGGTCTCATCCAGTTTCGACCCTTGCACCTCTCGTCGGTTCTGGCCGAACCAAGTGGCTATACCAGTTGGAAAATGATACCGAAGTTTGGCATAACTTAGCCCGCAAGGCCAGCCAATTTCCGGACGGCATTCGTGCCCCCAGGTGCCGGCGCACACGAGCTTTTTTCAAAGCAATGTGGGACGAAAGCTCACTTTTTCCCTTCATTTTCCAACTCAAATGGGTCTACTTTGAGAATCAATATCTCACTCACCCATTATCCGTTTTGAGCGTACAATATATCGATCTCTTCGTCTCACTATGAAGAATCCGAATCCACTTTAACCCGACCCAAATCGGAAGTGGACCCCACTGATAATTGTACCACAAAATAGCCACTTAACATGCCATTTTATGCCATTTTAAGCTATTTTTTCCAACAACATATAGGATCAAGCACCTCCAGCCATGGTTATCATCTCTATAGCATTGCCTGAAGGATTGTAAGGAACTTTAGAGTTTTGTCTACCACTTGATCTCCATGTGTAACTAGATGGTGTAGTCTGTAAAAAAAATGTGTATATCAGGTGAACAGTGGGAGGACCTATGCTTAAATAGTCTATGTGTCATTATTATAGGCTACGTAACAGAAACCGTTACATTCGTTTTAAACCACAACATAATGAGCACAAATAACCTATTAATTTGCACCACTTAATAGTGACATAATGATGATGGAAACTGTTACACAGTTCACAAGAGAAAAAAATAACAAATGAGCTTTTTATTGCCTTGAACTTGATATAAAACTCGATCTGCGCATCCCTGAATTTTGAGAAAACAATCACTTGCACTAAACTCATGAACTTAGAACTGTAGGTTACAACTAGGAAAAGGAAATAACAGATTCATTGACCGGGAACATTAGCCTAACCACTACTCCCGATCATTTAGGAAAAAGAGAATTACAAACTCGACGACCTGGTACATTTTCCTAACCACTAGTCCAGGTCGTCGATTATATCAACGAAGAATGAAATTACACTTAGAGATTACAAATTCATGGTATCACAACTTTAGGGATCTACTGATAAAACAATATCAGGTTTTCGGAATTTCATATCCTGTCGACCGATCTACCGGTGGTGGTCTCTAGCCGGTACGTACCCGGACGGATCACTATTTAGACAACATAAGGCCCTTCCCAGTTCTGAGCGAGTTTCCCACCTTGTTGGGATTGACTAGCTTCTCGTTTCCGAAGGACGTAATCACCGACCAGGAAATATCTAGGTCGGACTCGAATGTCACGACTTGCCTTGACCCTTTTATGATACTCGGCCACTCTTTTAGCTGCTAGCTCTCTTTTCTCTTCAATGCAATCAAGGTTGACCGCCATAAGGCGCTCATTTTCCTTGGGATCATAAGCCTTTTCTCGGGAAGTTGAGATCCGTGCTTCAATTGGGAGTCTCGTCTGTGCTCCGTACACACGGACGAATGGCGTTTCTCTAGTCGCCTCTCTCAGGGTCGTCCAGCGTATCCAAAGGATGAATGGCAATTCCTCCGCCCAACTACGCCTAGATGAATATAGCTTTTTCTTGAGGCCCTCGAGAATCGTCTGATTGGCATTTTCGACTTGGCCGTTCCCTTGGGGGTAGGCCACTGACGCTCGGATTGATTGGGTCCCAATCGTGGCAAAGAAATTCCAGAAATATTACCGTTCGAACTGCTTTCCATTGTCGATAGTACTATCAAAGTGGGCCGAAGCTCGCAGGCTGGCACGCACTCGCCCGTCATTCGCGCGGGTTAGGGTCATAAAAAAGTAGGACCATAAATAAAAAGTACATTTTTAATATACTAAGGGTACATTATTTATGTACATAAGGTACATTTTTTTAATGTACATTTTTAATATACTAAGGGTACATTATTTTATATAGGAATAAGGGTCAAATAGGCCACTCAACTGCACACCAAATTGCAATTAGGCCATTGAACTAGAAAAGAATGCAATTGAGCCATTGAACAACACAAAAACATGCAATTTAGCCCAAAATGACTTGTTTACCTGATGTTGCAAGTTACCAATTCTAAAATTAATTTTTAAAAATAATATTTAATAAATAATTAATTAAAATATTAAAAAAAAAATTGTTAGCCGGAGACGAATCGTCTGCGGCCGGCTTCATCTCCCTGACTATGGAGACGAAGATCTTTGTCTCCATAGCTGGAGATGGAGGTTCGTCTCCAGCAATGGAGACGAAGCCGGCGGGAGACGATTCGTCTCCGGGAGGCAAATTCTGTTTTTTTTTTTTTTTAATTATTTATTTATTAAAAATTATTTTAAAAAATTAATTTTAAAATCGGTTACTTGCTACATCAGGTAAACAAATCATTTTGGGCTAAATTGCATGTTTTTGTGTTGAATGGCTCAATTACATTCTTTTTTAGTTCAATGGCCTAATTGCAATTTGGTGCGCATTTGATTGGCATATTCGACCCTTATTCCTTTTATATAATGTACCTTGTAACACCCCCGAATTTTACCAACAATTAAAAACTTAAATAAAAGGATCAATAGACTAATCATAAAGCGGAAGCAACATACCCATAAAGATACGAGTGCACAGGCTAAGTCTACAAATCCATAATAACAAAACAAATGTCTAAGGCACACATGCTGCAACTATCTAAGGCTCACAGGCCCAAATCTAAACAGAGGGAAGCAAAGCTACGCTAACTAGAGTCCATATCTAGAGCAATCTCCGGTCTAATCAAAACCTGTAAAGACAAGGGATAACAGCCGGTCAGCGAATAAAGCTAGTAACCCACCAATACGCGTTAAGTATCAATATATATACATAATTATAGACAAAACCATTTGGAACTGAGGAATACAGTATATAGCATTTGAAAACCAAGAGGTGAGATAACAATCAATTATAACACACCCTCAACAAGGATCAAGACCAATAATAACAAGTGACAACCACAACTCTACATGCAACCTACCATTCACAAGGTAGAGTTCATCTTAGACATGATTATAAGCAAGGAAATACAACAACCACATAATGACAAGTTCACGGTCCAACATTATGCCTTAGTACCACCCTTATGGCTAACCCCCGCCTTATCACAGTTCCAACCTGTACCTCCGAGTGCCACCCTGTACTTCTGAGTCCAACCTTTTCTCGGTCTGGGACCGTCATCCCCCACCAATCAGTATACCACTGATCTCAAGTACACGAGGTTACCGTTAAATTCATAGTAACATACCACCGATCTCATGAGCAAAGCTCGAGTAACAAAACCACCAATCTCATTCATATTCACACACAGTCATCATCATCAAGAAGACTAAGGCTCATCAATAGCCTCAATCAAGTATCAACAAAGGGTACAACGATTTGTACAAGATAACTTCATAATAATCAACCAAGAGATTTCAATAAAGACATAAAGCAATACTTAACAACAATGGACTACAATCCAACACTAAATGATTGGCAACACGAGTTGCCAATCCTCAACAAGAAGGAACAAACCATACATACTAGCCCAACAACATCAAACTAGCATGCTCATCAAACGTATAAACCGAAATGGTTCCAATGAACCTTCAAGACTCATATTAGTCCAACGAATCCCAAGGTTAGACCCTTAGCACGATTCAAGACACCAAATCCTAACATGGATTCTTAACACATCGTTCTAGACATACGAAACATCAAGAAGACTCACTAAAGCTCAATAATTCAACAACGGGAGGTCAAAACATCACATACCAAAAGGAAAGGATCACGGGGAACAATTCCCCGCAATTACCACAACGGTTCCCTGCGGCTGGGGCCACGGGTTGGCCCCCACCCGTGGGCTTGCCCACGGGGTACACCCCTCAAGCCACCTTGTTCCCCGCGGGCGGGGCGGCGGGTAGGCCGCTGCCCACCATTCCGCCCGTGGGGTACACTCTGTACTCCAAAATTCTCTTCGGGGAAATTCATCAATAAAACCAAGTTCAAGTCCAAAACACCCAAAACCTCACACACAACAAAGATATGACTTGAACCCAAGAATAGCTCAAAGAAAGGCATTCAAGAACCCTAAATACAAGCTCTAAACATGCATTATCACAAGATCATGCATCAAATCACTCACAACATCAAGAATCATCAAATAGAAGCCAAGAAATACCAATAGCAAGCATAAAATAGGTTTTGTAAAGCATGGGTTACCTTTGTAGACCAAAACCACTTTCTTCTTACCCTCCTAAGCCTCTCCTTGAAGCTCTTTCTCACCCAAGACTTCTTACACAATCAAACCACAAAGAAAACACCAAAATAAGATAAAGATACCTTAAAGCTAGCTAAAATCACTAAACAACTAGAGATCTTACCATTTCCTATGCTAGAGAGGTAGAAAGGTGGAAACTTTAGGTAGAATCTTGCAAAGATAGAGAACCCTTCTTCTAGCTTGGAGAGAAAGCTAAGATTTCTTGTAGAGAGAAGGTAGAGGTTTTAAGATTTGGCTAGCATGGGAAATGAATGAAATGTCTTGCTAGAGAAAGCTTGAACATCAAAACATGTGTGAAATGTCAACTTTACCCTTAGTAAACTTAGGAAGACAAAAGGGTTGAGGTACAGAGCATAAGACAAAAGGTACACTTGGTTGGCTAAAGAGACTAGTCAAATTCTAGTCCCTCGACTATCAAATTTCAGGATTTTTAGAAGAAAATTATCACGGAAAACAAAGATTAATTCCTCAATTAATCACAATTAGGAGTTAGATTTACGGGGTGTCACAACTCACATCCTCTCCCCCTAACAATAAGCTTCGTCCCCGAAGCTTGGGCACAACGAGTTAACCAAAAGGATAGCAATGAACAAAGGTGTGACAAGAGAAAGCAATGAGTAACAAACAAGAGTTCCAATAATCAAGAATAAAGGCAAGGCTTCAAAGCAACGAAGATTACTCCCAAGCAATTTAACAACTAAACCGGGAGTCTAACTACCCTTCACCCGACCCTAAGACTACACAGCTAGAAAAAGGGGTAACCCGAGGTACCTGAGGTAAACAGATCAGGATAGCGCTCCCGCATGGCGACTCCAGCTCCCAGGTTGCTTCTTCCACTCCATGATGGGACCACCATACTTTTACCATTTTCACCGACTTCCTGCGGGTTTCTCTTGTTTTGAAGTCCAAGATCCGGAACGGCCTTTCTTCATAAGACATAGTCCCGTCAAGGGGCACCACTTCAGGCGAAATCACATGTGACGGATTGTGCACATACTTCTTTAACTGAGACACATGAAACGCATTGTGCACTCGTTCCAACTCCATCGGTAGCGCCAAACGATAAGCCAGATTTCCTACCCTCTCAAGGATGTCATAGGGACCAATAAATCTAGCGCTTAACTTTCCCTTCTTCCCGAACCTCATCACTCCCCGAGTGGGAGAAACCTTCAACCAAACTTTTTCCCCAACTGAGAATTCTGCCGGTTTTCTTCCTAAGTCCGCGTAGGATTTTTGTCTATCTTGAGCCATCTTCATTCTACCCTGGATATACTTGATCTTCTCCACGGTATCATGCAAATATTGAGGTCCCTACATCACCGGATTAACCAAATTCTCCCAACATAGCGGGCTTCGGCATTTCTGTCCATAAAGCGCTTCATACGCTGCCATCTGTATGCTTGAGTGGTAACTGTTATTGTAAGAGAACTCAATCAGGTCCAAGTGCTCTTCTCACGAGCCTTGGAAGTCCAACATGCAAGCTCTTAACATATCTTCAATCGTTTCGATGGTCCTCTCAGTTTGTCCATCCGTAGCGGGGTGAAAGGTGGCGCTCAAATTCAACTTTGTCCCCAAAGCAGCTTGCAAAGACTTCTAGAATTGAGACAAGAATCTTGGGTCTCGGTCAGAAACGATATCCCGAGGAACTCCATGCTACTTCACAACCTGACTTACGTACGCCTTGGCTAACTGTGCCATTGACCATGTTTCTTTCATAGCGATGAGCCGAGCCGCCTTAGTTAAACGATCCACTATCACCCAAATCTTGTCCTTGCCTGAACGAGTCACGGGTAATCCACCTACGAAATCCATAGAAATGGAATCCCACTTCCCTTGGGGTACCTCCAACGGTTGCACCAATCCCTTGGATCTACATCGCTCGACCTTTACTTTTTGACAATTCAAGTACCTACTCACGAAATCGGTTATTTCTTTCTTCATGTTAGGCCACCAATAAAGCTTTTTCACATCTTTGTACAACTTGTCACCCCCAGGATGCACCGAATAAGGAGTGTTGTGACCGTCTTCAAGAATCTGTCGCTTCAAACGATCACAAAACGCGGGTACACACCATTGGCCCTTGTATCTTAGGCCCTCATCGTCGAATAACTCAAAGGGCCCCTTCTTTCCTCCGACCAACCCACTCCTAATTTTTGCCAAGTCGGCATCCTTCATCTGTTCGTCTTTTATTTCTTCCATGAAGGTAGGCACGATCCTCAAGTTAAGCAAACGGACCTCCGCTTCCACTTCACCTTGTTCCACCACTTCCAGGTTCATCTTTTGTAACTCCTTACAAAGTTCATCGGCCAAAATCCAAATAGAGTTGATGGAGTGCTTAGATTTTCTACTTAGAGCGTCGGCTACCACGTTTGCCTTCCCCTCGTGGTACTGAATGTCCAATTCATAATCCTTAATGAGCTCTAGCCAACGCCTTTGGCGCATGTTCAGGTCTTTCTGCGTGAAGATGTATTTGAGACTTTTATGATCCGTGAAGATTTTACACTGCACCCCATATAAATAATGTCGCCAGATTTTTATGGCAAAGACCATCGCTGCTAATTCCAGATCATGGGTGGGATAATTCTCTTCATGTACTTTAAGCTGTCTTAAGGCATACGCTATCACTCTTCCGTTTTGCATCAGAACACACCCCAAACCTTTCTTTGATGCATCGCTATAAACTTCAAATCCTTCTGACCCCGACGGTAGAGTTAACACTGGTGCAGTGGTCAACTTATCCTTCAACTCCCAAAACACTGAATCACAATCTTGATTCCACTGAAAAGGAACGTCCTTCTTTAATAACTTGGTTAGGGGTTGGGCTACTTTGGCAAAGTCCAAAACGAACCTCCGATAATATCCCGCCAAACCAAGGAAGCTCCTTACTTCCGCAACTGATGTCGGTACTGCCCAATCCTTTACTGCTAGGATCTTATCTGGATCCACTGAGATACCATTTCTGTTTATCACATGCCCCAAAAAGGTTACACTATCCTTCCAAAACTCACACTTGGAGAGCTTGGCATAAAGCTGTTTCTCCCTCAAGGTCTGTAGCACAATCCGAAGATGTCTTTCATGCTCCTCTTTTGCTTCGGGAATAGACTAGGATATCGTCTATGAACACGATCACAAAATCATCTAGGTGCGGTTTGAACACCCGGTTCATCAAATCCATGAACACTGCCGGGGCGTTGGTCAGGCCAAACGGCATCACCGTGAACTCGTAATGCCCATAACGAGTCCTGAAGGTTGTCTTAGGTACATCTTTATCGGCCACCTTCAGCTGGTGATAACCCGACCTCAGATCGATTTTAGAGAACACACCCGCACCCTTGAGTTGGTCGAACAGGTCGTCGATTCTCGGAAGTGGATACTTATTCTTGACAGTTACTTGTAGCTCCCGGTAGTCTATACACAACCTCATGCCTCCGTCTTTCTTTTTAACAAAGAGTACCGGCGGTCCCCACGGTGAGGTACTTGGCCGGATGTAACCCTTGTCCAACAGGTCCTGTAATTGCACTTTTAATTTCTGCATTTCCCTGGGCGCCAACCGATAAGGGGTCTTCGAGATGGGTGATGTTCCGGGCACAAGATCCACCGAAAACTCTACTTCTCTTGGTGGAGGCATTCCCGGAATTTCCTCGGGAATAGATTGCGCCTTGCTTTCTTTGGCTTCCAAGTTCTCAATGGTGCAATGGAAAACTTCATGACCCTTCTCCACATACTTCTTCATCTTCAGCATGGATACCATCTTGACTTCGGCCTCCACAACGGTGCCTCAATAGAGTACTCTTTTCCCACTCGGTCCTCTTAGTACAACCTTCTGTTCCCCGCAAAGGATCTGAGCCTTGTGCTGCCCCAACCAATCCATTCCTAGGATCACGTCCACCACATCAAGCCAAATTGAATTAGGTTGCTAGGGAATTCCTCCCCGTTGATGGCAATCTTGACATTCTCGAACAGACGGTTACACTGCTTGATTTCCCCCGAAGCTACCTTCACGCTTAACTTCACTTCTACACCGTCGGTCAACCCCAACTTCTCAACCCCAATTGGATGCTCCCGAGTCGAATAGAACTAGAGCAAGGATTGATTGCACCAAAAAGGTTCCGGCCACAACGTCGCTGTCTCCGGCCCGAGCTTCACTCAAAGTGAGGATCTTTCCTCGAGACGATCCCCCCTCCGAGCCCCGAACTATCGTGCTCCCAATCGGTTTTTGCTTCCGAGGTGGTGGCGCTGCAACATTGCTGGGGCAAACCTAAGTGGAAACACCACTCCTAACCCAACGCTCAACGACACTAAAGGTGTTATAGACCTCCGTCACCCTTGGTTTCTTAAGCACTACACCGGCGTTGCTCAGCGCCCGGGCACGGTGGCGAGGCAGTGTCATTGCAAGATTCTACAGAAACAACACGGTTATGGCAAAACACGAGGAAGCTGTACCCGGCGCTTAAAACGAGAAAGTGAAGACTAAGCAAGAACAACAAGATAAGCACAACAAACGATAAGGAAACTCACATCTCACCGCGCGTCCTAAGCATCTTAAGTCCTAACACTTAGGTTCTTAGAGGTCAACTTTGAGTCTTAAATCACACTTAGCTTCTTAAAGTCCAACTCTTAACACCTTAGGCTCAAACCTAGGCTCTGATGCCAACTGTAACACCCCCGAATTTTACCAATAATTTAAAACTTAAATCAAAGGATCAACAGACTAATCATAAAGCGGAAGCAACATAATTCGAGAAAGGTGTTATGCCACACCCATAAAGATACAAGTGCATAGGCTAAGTCTACAAATCCATCATAACAAAACAAATGTCTAAGGCACACAGGCCGCAACTATCTAAGGCTCATAGGCCCAAATCTAAACAGAGGGAAGCAAAGCTACGCTAACTAGAGTCCACATCTAGCGCGCTCTCCGGTCTAATGAAAACCTGTAAAGACAAGGGATAACACCCAGTCAGCGAATAAAGCTGGTAACCCACCAATACGCGTTAAGTATAAATATATATACATAATTATAGACAAAACCATTTGGAACTGAGGAATACAGTATATAGCATTTGAAAACCAAGAGGTGAGACAACAATCAATTATAACACACTCTCAAACAAGGATCAAGACCAACAACAACAAGTGACAATCACAACTCTAGATGCAACCTACCATTCACAAGGTAGAGTTCATCATAGACATGCTTATAAGCAAGGAAATACAACAACCACATAATGACAAGTTCACGTTACAACCTTATGCCTTAGTATTACCCTTATGGCTAACCCCGGCCTTATCACAGTTCTAACCTGTACCTCCGAGTGCCACCCTATACTTTTGAGTCCAACCTTTTCCCGGTCTGGGACCGTCGTCCCCCACCAATCAATATACCACCGATCTCAAGTACACGAGGGTACCGTTAAATTCATAGTAACATACCACCGATCTCATGAGCAAAGCTCGAGTAGCAAAAACACCAATCTCATTCATATTCACACACAGTCATCATCATCAAGAAGACAAATGCTCATCAATAGCCTCAATCAAGAGTATCAACAAAGGGTACAACGATTTGTACAAGATAACATCATAAGAATCAACCAAGAGATTTCAATAAAGACATGAAGCAATACTCAACAACAATGGACTACAATCCAACACCAAATGATTGGCAACACGAGTTGCCAATCCTCAACAAGAAAGAACAAACCATACATACTAGCCCAACAACATCAAATTAGCATGCTCATCAAACGGATAAACCGAAATGGTTCAAACGAACCTTCAAGACTCATACTAGTCCAACGAATCACAAGGTTGGACCCTTAGCACGATTCAAGACACCAAATCCTAACATGGATTCCTAACACATCATTCTAGACTTACGAAACATCAATAAGACTCACAAAAGCTTAATAATCCAACAACGGGAGGTCAAAACATCACATACCAAAAGGAAAGGATCACGGGGAACAATTCCCCGCAACTACCACAATGGTTCCCTGCGGGTGGGGCCACGGGTAAGCCCCCACCCGTGGGCCTGCCCACGGGGTACACCCCTCAAGCCACCTTGTTCCCCGCGGGTGGGGCGGCGGGTAGGCCACTGCCCACCGTTCCGCCCGCGGGGTACACCCTGTACTCCAAAATTCCCTTCGGGGAAATTCATCAACAAAACCAAGTTCAAGTCCAAAACACCCAAAACCTCACACACAACAAAGATATGACTTGAGCCCAAGAATAGCTCAAAGAAAGGCATTTAAGAACCCTAAATACATGCTCTAAACATGCATTATCACAAGATCATACATCAAATTACTAACAACATCAAGAATCATCAAATTAAATAGAAGCCAAGAAATACCAATAGCAAGCATAAAATAGGTTTTGTAGAGGATGGGTTACATTTGTATACCAAAATCACCTTCTTCTTACGCTCCTAAGCCTCTCCTTGAAGCTCTTTCTCACCCAAGACTTCTTACACAACCAAACCACAAAGAAAACACCAAATTAAGATAAAGATACTTTAAAGCTAGCTAAAAACACTAAACAACTAGAGATCTTACCCTTTCCTATGCTAGAGAGGTAGAAAGGTGGAAACTTTAGGTGGAATCTTGCAAAGATAGAGAACTCTTCTTCTAGCTTGGAGAGAAAGCTAAGATTTCTTGTAGAGAAAAGGTGGAGGTTTTAAGATTTGGCTAGCATGGGAAATGAATGAAATGTCTTGCTAGAGAAAGCTTGAACATCAAAACATGTGTGAAAGGTCAACTTTGCCCTTACTAAAGTTAGGAAGACAAAATGGTTGAGGTACAAAGCATAAGGCAAAAGATACACTTGGTTGACTAAGGAGACTAGTCAAATTTTAGTCCCTCGACTATCAAATTTCAAGATTTTTAGAAGTAAATTATCAAAGAAAGCTAAGATTAATTCCTCAATTAATCACAATTAGGAGTTAGATTTACGGGGTGTCACATACCTTTAGTACAAAAATAATGCACTTTTAATATATTAAAAATGTACATAATATTCATGGTCCATACAATAATTTGCCGCGGTTTGCTGCCACCCTTTTGCACTTATTTTTATTTTACTTCTAATACAAATAACGTTCCAATTCTACAAATCTAATAAGAGCCAATAATGTTAGGCCCTTAACTGGAATAAAAAAATGTCGGTAGTAGTTGTTTCTTAAAATAAATGTTTCATATTATTTTGATTTTAGTATTTTTTAATGATTTTCCTTATTTACCCTTTATTATATTATTTTCTTCCCTTAAATAACCCTAAATTTCGTAGGTATAAACTTTAGTAACGGAATATTCCGTTAACTATTTATTATTCTTAACATACTCATTAATTTATATAAGAAAGGTCTTAGGTTCGAACCTCATCCCAATTAGAGTTGGCATAATTGTTAAAACATATATTATGAATATGTTAAAATGTATTAAAAAAATATATATAATATAAAATTTAACATAAACTTTAGTCCAATAATTAGTCCGACTAAATACATAGCATTCAAAGTTAAGCATCAAAGATTATAAATCATGAACTTTAAAAATCATTTGATTTTCTTGAATTTTTTTTTAATTTAGTTTTTTTTTTTTTTTAAAAGTTTAATTAACCTTCTTTTGATTATTTAGAACAAAACTTAATATTTCAATTATGCTTTTGCATTATTGGAACGATTTAGGTCATTATTCTATTAATATTTTTTGTTTTTTTTTTATAATGGTACAATTGTACATTACTTTACAAATATTATACTATTATTTTTTTATTGGACAAAATTGTTCTTACATCATTGTCAGACCCGCGCGGCCTAACTACAAAGTTGTTGATCATAAATACAATTACGCATGGACTCTAAAATGGTAGGACCATTTTCCAAATAATTGACAATGTTAACATCCTACTAGCTCAAATTGAACAAGTTTACACATCAGAATTTGATCACTGCATGAAAACTTCTAAAGAAATTTGTAAGTTAATTTTTACTATATCATTATAACAATATCTATTGTAATCATATATTTTGAATTATTTATGATCATCCTCTATTGATAGCAATTGTCATCGACAAACTCTCAAAACAATTTGTTTCACCAGGGAATGAATTTTTTTTTTTTAAAAAAAAAATCATTGATTTCATTATTGTTGATGAAAAGTAGCTACAATTTATCCTCTACGACACTTTATTACTCTTATTAAATTAAATAAATTAGTAGCTACAACAAAAAATAATACATATGCATTTAATTAATTTAGAATTAGATGTGTATAATGCTTTATTTAAAAAAAATTATTCATTATAAAAAAAATTAAAAGAAATATAATTTCATTAGTTATATTCATTATCTTTATTTTCTACAATTCAAAGATTCATTACCTTCAAATTTATTAACTTATTATATTCACTACATGCATTGTCCATTGTCTTCTTTTTACATTATCTTGTAATTAAATATCAAAGTTATAATACAAAACATGTTATATATATTTATTTACCAAGTATTTTATACAAATATAATAAATATTAATATTTTGTTCAATACTTTCGCATGATAACATACGACACACATCTCACAACACATGAACCACCTTCGTAAAATTGTTGGTAATACTTAATAATGTAATAAATGCTTACACAGGCGTGTGATAAAAATTATTATTATTTAAATAAAATTAGTTGTAACCTATTAGCTCAAACATTGATCAAAAAAATTGAAGAAGGAGAAAGTAAAGACAAGGCAAGAATATCTTGTTTATTCATCTCTCTGTATATTCTCCATACAACTACAAAACATCTATATATAATATACAAATATAACGGAAGACGTAATGAAGCCATTAATCACCTAATCGTTACATAATCAATACTAATAATGACCACACTAAATATATTATTTATAACACTCTCCCTTGGACATTATTTGGCCACAATCTTGCCTCATTAAAAACTTGCTAGAAAAACCCTGTGGGAAAAACCTAGACAATAAGATAGTATTATGGATAGTACATTTAAATATATTCATGCCTCGTTAAAAACTTTACTAGGAAAACCACGTGGGAAAAACCTAGTTGAAGAAAAGAGTACATAATATTTGTAAAAATCATAAATTGTATTAGTTGTCTCATTAAAAACCTTAACTTAAGAAAATCATGTGGGAAAAACCTAGTTAAGGAAAAAAGAGTACAACGACCATCAGCCTTCAAGGCATAATCTTCAGGAATTTTGGGGTTTGTCTATTTAAGTATTTACTTGCAACTTTCCCACATTGACATTACTATATCATAGTCATGTCTCGTTAAAAACCATACTAGAAAAAACCTAGTGAGGAAAAGAGTACATGATATATGTGTCGTTAGTCATCAATCTTCAGGATTGATTCATGTAAAATTATACTCCCCTCAAGATAACAATCTTGATGTCCTATACATTAAATTTCCAAAATGTATAGAGAAATTTTGTAAATAAATATGTACAATTGTCAATGGAACAAATATACTTTATAATAATCTCGTGACTATCCTGGAGCTCACGTGAGTATAAGATTGATACCATATTATCTTAGTCAAAAGATTTCATATTATTTTATCATATGAGTGGCACAATCTTTATTGTCCTTTTATAGGACAATGGGGGTAAATATAGTACAACCAGTTTTGGGACTTGGCATTATGGGGATACAAAAACAGTACCCAAGAAGCCCCATTATATATTAATTTGATGTTTACACCATAAATATTGACTGAGATAATAAATAAGTCCATTATCAACTCTTTATTGAGCACATAATGGTACATATTATTCCTTCTATATGAGGATAATAACCCCATTCGCAACTCTTTAAAAAGTAAATAATGGCACATAATAATACTTAAATAAATCCTCATTTCGGGAATTATAAATCCATTAGGGATTTTTCAAGATAAACTAGAAGATATATTTAGGATACTTTCAAGAGGAAACGATATTTAAGTTTCCCAATCACATATAACATTCCTAGGCATGTTTATGATAATATATTTTCATACTTTGTTCTTGGGAAGAAAATATCTTTAGTAAATTTATTGACTACAAGAAAGATCATAGTTAGTAACTTACTAACTTTTATACTTCTTATTTTTGTGATTTTTGGTCATCACATTTTGAGAAAATTCATCAGGGATTTTAAATATAAATAGCCAGTTACCCATATAAATATGTCATAATTATGTCTATTAACTACATATCTAATTATTTACTGGTAGTTTTATTGAATAGCGGAATATAAAGCCATGACTAATATTGGGTCTCTGCGAAAACCCTCAACTCGCCTTTTATTAGCGAGTTTTGATTTTTATGCCTTAATTGCTCTTTTCTATCAAAACAGTTAGCACGATGCAGGCATTATACTACTATTTTCATTTCTAGATCCAGATTTAAGTATTTATGAACAATAGAGGCAAAATATGTTGTCGACAACTGTAACAGCTTTGTAAATATCTTTTATACACATGGCAATTTTGTATCAACCAAATATATGGCATTTCCCAAGAGTATTTGAATTTGGTTGTTCCGCTTCTCCAGTATTTTAGTTATTTGGTGCACCTACAATTTTACTGGGGATTTTCGCCTTCTAGACGAATATCTTCAGGATAAAATTTCTATATTTCTGGAGTGACGAAATTTCTTCATTAGATCTAGATTTGCAAATTCTTAAACCAATAAATTTCATATGCTTCCGGTAGAAAGAAAAACGATAGAGTTAATTAGGCGCAGTTGGGGATTTCAATTATTTCTATGGACTTAGTCACCCCTTGAGATTTCCAGCAGATTATCTGTTCAACGTTTGAACTTCTGATTCTATAAGACTAGTACATGGGTTTTGAAGATTTTGTATCTCATAAAATTTTCTCGGCATTCAATTAATTTAGGAACCTCAAATCTCCCCCTAATGTCGAGAAAAAGATCTTATGATGCAACCCAACATTATTTCTATTGATTTCTCATGAAGGGTTGCATACAAAAAATATTTGAACGCAGATAGGGAAATGCATCATGGTGTCGAACCACGTACTAGGCGTTTGTGATATGTAGTGGATAAGGATGGTGGTTTCTCAATTCCGGAGGTCCCCAAAATAGATATACGTCGTCCATAATTGCTTAACAAAGCTCTTATAAAAATATGTCTATTGTAAATAATTGTGTCATGGCAATTAGAGAAACAATTAGTGCACTCAACATAGAAATGTATGGAGTGAACTTATCAAAAAAAATATTATTGTTATCGATCAAGTATGCTTTTCTTTAAATCTAAGCAACAATTGA